CTGGTCGACCAATCCGACTGATACCAAGCCTAACTGGAGATTGTTGGGATTGGTACCAAGCCTAACTGGAGATTGTTAGGATTGGCACCAAGCCTAACTGGAGATTGTTGGGATTGGTACCAAGCCTAACTGGTACTAATCCTCCAAGCCTAAGATTGGAACTGGTGCATGCCTACACATTATTTTTTTGCGCATTTTACAAACTCATTTTTGATTTTTCTTTTACTTCAGAAACATTAGCAATATATTATGCTGATGATTTATTGATGCTCGTTTTTATGAAATAATAAAACTGAAAAAAATTGACACATCATTTGTTCGTTCAGTGGAAAGTTGCAAACTCGATCTGCGTCGTTTCGGCGCGAAATATACTGCCAATGCAGGATGACCGTATTTTTTAGGCCACGAGAGAGAAGATGTAGTAAAACACAGAGAACAATTTTTCAAATATTTTATTGAAAACAAAAACCATTTTTATTCATTAACAAATGACCCGGTGCCACAGTGGATTGAGCCAAAAGCTCAGAAATTGATTCTGCTCTGTAAGGAAACATTTTTTCATAACTGTACAAATTTTTAACGCATTTTTTTTAACTTTTTTTGACAATAGGCCACGATGAATCAACCTACAAAAGTGGCGAAATTTCGGCGAAAACGCTGGATTATGAAAGACAACGCGCCTTTTTATAATAAGGGTCGAGGAAGGAGTATTATGGCGTCAGACTTTTTAGTAATGCACAAAAGCGGTCCATTTTTTTCACTCACAAACAAGGAATTTCAGCTGGCTCTCAAAAAATATCCTGAACTGAACGATTCTTTTGATGTCAAATACGAACAAAATACTGTTTCAGGAACAATCAATGTCGGAGGTGACAATTATTTTGATAATGACAGTATTTTAAAACAGTTTCGACGTCTTTTCCAAATGTTGCCATTCAAGGAAGAATACAAATATCACGGATTCGTTTGTCTAGTAGACAACGCCCGTACTCACACGGCCGCTGAATTCAGCGTAAATGATTTTGGCTTAAAGGCCGGTACCAGATGCCCAGTAGAGACAATTCAGTTTTTTGACGACAAAAATCAAAAACATACACTTCAGTGTTACGATGATGACGGTGTTAGTAAAGGGCTACTGCAGTTAGCACACGATTTAAATATTTTTACTCCAAACAAAGTCAAACTTCCAGAATTGAAAGCTCTGCTTGCTGAACATCCAGCATTCAAAAATGTAAGGTCCAGAAATTTTTTTTTTGACATTTTCAACAAATTAAAATTTTTTTATGACATTTTTGCAGGTCAGCAAACTTGAAAAATTAGCAACAGAGTATGCGGTCAAAATTATTTTTGGGCCGAAATATCATTGCGAGACAAATCCAATTGAAGACTATTGGTGTCATTCAAAACAGTTTATTAGAAAACACACAGATCAATCTTTCACAAGATTAAATGAATTACTGCCTCTTTCAAAAGATCATTTTATAGAAAAACAAATACATCTCAAATTATTCCGACGGTTTTGGCGTACAATCGAGGCCTACCGAGAAGGAAAAGACTACAGAGAAGTTTTGACCATGTTTTTTTCTAGTATGTGCAAAGATAATATTATCGGACACCGAAAAATCACAAACACAAACCTTGATGATTAGAAACAGTATTTTTTATTTTTGTAGGCTTTTTTGTACAGTTTTTCACTTAGTATTGCAAAGATTAGATATTTTTTGATGTGTTTTAGGATAGAACTATTTTTTTATGAATTTTTCAAACTCATCAGTAAAATAAAGTTAGATAAAAGTACAAATAATAATTAAAGCTTTTTCATAGCAAAGAACTTGCCTAAAACCCTCCAGAGACCCTCCAAAGTGCCTCTAGAAATCCCGAAAGTATTTTTATCGGATTCTGCATTGATTTTAACCTATTCTACACTATCTTGATATTTTTTGAATCAAAAACAAATTTTTTATTAGCGAACAACCTGAAGGATTGCGAGTCTAAAAAATGTAGGCTCTATATCTCAGCACAGGAAAAAGGTTTTTTCAAAAAAAACCGTACTTTTGTAGCCCACGATGAGCTGGTTCGAATGGCATATGAACGAAAATTTTACGTCTTCAAGCAAAAAACTAGATAGAGTATACGAGTATACTACAACCGAATACGCAAAATTTCCAGTTCGATATTCAAGTAATCCATCAATGTCAATAATGTGCCACCAGGAAAACTATCTGAATCCAAAAATTTTCTCATTCAAAATTCATCTTATTCTAGTTTTCATCAATTCCTCGTTCTCGATTTCGATCAACGAAACGACAGCCAACGGTACGGATATTCTCAATTTGATCGTGACTGATACCGATTTCGATACGATACTCGTTTTGGTATATTAAGTGGTAATATTCAGAATGTGTTCACATTCTCAATGCTCTTAGATAATTTGGCCGATTCGTCACGTACACAATATCAAGCAATTGGTCAACTTTATGTAGTTGGTCCATTGAGCTATGAAGCAAGACAAAGTTACACACTCGTTCTTTTTGCATTCGATACATTAAATTTGGCAACAATCACAGTGATTATCAATCTATTACTACAAAATATCAGAGCACCCGTGTTCAATCTAATGCCGGGCTTTACTGCGACATTGCTAGTCTATGCGATGGTACCAAATGGGCAACAAAATGTGAATAGTTTGTATTTGAATCAATAGAATAATATGTCAACGATTGGCATTGCATTGCCTGGTCTCGATCGTGATTTACCATTCGGCTATCCTATATACAATTTCTCGCGTTGTGTGACTGATCAACGGGATGCTGGCATTTCATCGTATGCATCTGTCATAATCACCGTCAACAACACCAATGATCACTGACCGATTCCGACGGTAAGCTCCCTGAATAATTTTTTTTCTCTCTGTTCTCCCTTATCCCTCCTGTACACGCCCCGGGAATTCAAATGGGTTATATTGTCTCATAAAGGTTCAGTGAAAAGTTAGACGATTTGTACCAACGCTTTCTTCGAAAGAACATTTTGTCTTCATAACTCCATATCTGCAATAATTCTTCCAGCATAAATACTTACTGTTGCAAGTGTATATGAATTTGCGTGTAAGAGCAAGATAATCTGTAAAGATACTTTGATAACAGCAATAAAGCGCTGTCTGTCTATTTATAACAACTGGTATCAGATAAATTTAGCTGAGCGTGATTTTGTCCAAATAAAAGCCTTTAGGTGTTCCCCCATCTAGCGGAAACTAGGTAAATTATATTCATTACCATACATTCTTCAGATTCTTCAAGGCAACTCTTATCAGATGAGGTTAGGTAAGGTTTTTTTTTCCAAGTGACGAAATTTTCATTCGACAAGCGATGTATCACCCAGGTCGAAGACGGGCGGCCAAATTCCGTCCAAAAACGTTTCCGCTTCGGACGTGCAGCTCGGATCCGCCCGATTTCGACTCACTTGCTAAACCCCAATCCCATCACTGACTACGGTGGTAGGATGCGGTCCATAATGTGTCATTTCTACCGAGATCCTGGGGGCTACAGACGGGTGTCGGAGTTCCGTGATCTTTGAGCTCCTGCTGAACACTCGGTACCCTAGCTTCCAACTAAGGTAAACTAAAATGACACGAACACGGCATGCAAATAATGGTAAGCTCCCTGAATAATTTTTTTTTTCTCTCTGTTCTCCCTAGTCTTCTCCCTTGTCCCTCCTGTATGCGCCCCTGGAATTCAAATGGGTTATATTGTCTCATAAAGGTTCAATGAAAAGTTAGACGATTTGTATCAACGCTTTCTTCGAAAGAACATTTTGTCTTCATAACTCCATATTTACAATAATTCTTCCAGCATAAATACTTACTGTTGCAAGCGTATATAACTTGTACAACCACTTATTCATACTTTTTGTTGAATTTTAGTCTACAATTCGGTTTGAAAATGGTCATTGGTATCATACATCATGTGATAAAGACCGAAAAGGAAGTGGTATTGAACGTTACATCGATGACCAAGGTCAACAACAAATTGTAGGTTTAAGTTTTAATAATAACAAATGGAAAACTGATTTGTATTTTCATATTTTCATTCATAGGTTTTGACATGTGATAAAGTGAAAGCACGACGTTGGTACAAACGAGCTTAGATGTTGTACTACTCCAACAATACGAAAAACGTTTACTTCTTCTATTCTAGGTTTGTCACTATTGTCTTTGCTTTTTAAAAATAAAATCGTTGATTTGAGCTTTTCAAGTCGAGCAGTCAAGCGAATATAAATAGAGAAAAAATCCATATGAGAGGTTCCCAATCGTATCCAGGGATCGCAGATCTTCGGATTTTGGCACAAAAATTCTGATTTTTGGAACTTTTTCTGCCTCTTCTCTGCCCCAAGGTCTACTGATTTTCTGATTTTCTACTTCTTTTTCTCAGATTTTTCTGATTTCGGGTTTTATTTTCTGATTTTCGTGTTTTGGATCTGGGATACCTGATTGTATCACACCGAGAAGAGAGCGTTTAGATCCAGTTTTGTATCTCCCCACTATAGGTGCATGTCTTATTTGTAAAGCACAGTAGATAATTGAGCTTAGTCAAGAAATTCATCTCTGTATTTGGCACTCTATTAAACAAAAGCCTTCATCAATATCCATTTGTTCGAAAACAGTAGCTGCAATTGAAAAAGCTAAATACTTCTTCATTCGCATATCTAATAGAAAACTTTATTTTCAAAGAAGCCTGAATCTTAAGTTATGGAACAGAGAAAACTTTCTTTCATAAAAGTACTTTGCTCTCGAACCGCCGAAAGGACGCAGGTGAGCTACAATAAACTTTTTAAATAAAAATACAGTTTCGACGAGGAGGATTACTTGAAATCTGAGAATGCCAGTTTTCCACCTTCAGTCAATCTTATGGATAGGGACTTTTAAATGATCGATATCATTGCAGAAATCAATAGGAAGTAAAATTTATCCGCCTACAATGGTAATGTTGCATTATCTAGGTGCAAACTCCAAATGAGGTGCTTTTTTAACAGATTTCGAATACATGCAAAATAGTTCCAATTCAATTCTTTACAAAGCCATATGCAAAGAGAAGTGGTAACCACAGAACGGCGAAGTACGGCGGCGCCGCACCACGGGAAATTTTGCCGTGTCACCGAGAAAAGGTATAAAGTCAGGTAAAAACGGACGGCGATCTTTAGGCTAGTTTAAGCATCAGAATTCTTCGTTGATTTGAGCTTTTCAAGTCGAGCAGTCAAGCGAATATAAATAGAGAAAAAATACATATGAGAAGTTCGGAATTGTATCCAGGGATCGCAGATCTTCTGATTTTTGGATAAACAGAAGTAAAAGATATACACGCTTCGACATATGTCCTTAACGTCTTGCGGGTCTGTCATTTGCGGGAACCGTCATCTGATCTAGTCCCGCAGGCCTGAAACCTGTCACGGATCCGAATCCGCAAGAATTCTTTCAGGATCCCGATTTTTCAAAACTAAACCTGCCCCAAGTGCGCTCGAGCCCGAAAATGTTTTTTTTCCGATAAAGTAGTGCCCTTTTCCATCTGCATATTAGTATATATCTCTACTTGTAGAGGTACAATGATACAATTCAATTGGTCGCCTATATGACCAATGCGAAACAGCTGTGCGTTTCTCTTATTCTTTTATTTGTTTAGAATTGTCTCTTCTCTTCCCCTATATCAAACTAGAAGAATCGAGATCTGAAAGAAAGCCGCTCCCGTTTGAATGAACTCCAGAATATGAATGAGTCAGCTGATATGAAGAATATTCATATCAACTGGCTCATCCATATGTTATCTAAAGTACGATATAACCCTTTTATAAAATGTGATGTTACCACATATATGTTACACATATACCAAACTAACGAGGGAGCCTTTTTAAGTGCCCTCTCGCTTTTTCAACGAAACCTAGTGGATCATAGGTTAAAGGCGATGCTGATCCCGAATATGAATATGAAAGCTGCCCTTAGGGCTTTCAAAGATCCAGTTTTCTGTAGAACCAGTTTTTTAGAAACTCTGAAAAACAATCAAAGCTTTCTTAATGAGCCATGCTTGCAGCCCGCACATTTCTGATTAAAATGAGAAGTCTTCCAGCTCTACATGAGCTTTCTTTGCAAACTTATAGAATTTACAAGAAAAGTCCTAAATTAATTTCTTCTTATTTCTGTAGCTTTGAGTTGACAATGAATATTTAGGGCTTTTCTTGTAAATTCTATAACTTTGCAAAGAAAGGTCATGTAGAATTGGGAGAGGTCTCATTTTAATCAGAAATGTGCGGGCTACAAGCATGGCTTATTAAGAAATGCTTTGGTTGTTTTTCGGAGTTTCTGAAAAACTGGTTTTCCTAAAAACCGGAGCTTCGAAGCCTTAAGGACAGCTTTCATATTTATATTCGGAATCAGCATCACCGATAACCTGTAACACACTAGGTTTCGTTGAAAAGCGAGGGGGCACTTAAACACGTTTCCTGGTAAATGCAAACCAATTCTTGTTAGTCATGATTCAATCAACACTTCTGGATAAGAACATTTACTATCAAGCGTTGAATAATAAAGAGAAGTTACTAACTTAAATGGAGAAAATGTGTTTTGATCACCAAATTTCTTTCGATCGAAATGATCACCAAAAAATAACATTTTTGATCACAAAATCAATTAAAAATATTTAAATTAAAGAAAATATATACAAGAAGAATATATAGCAATTAAATAGAAAATTAATTGTAAATTAATTAGTGGACAGACAAGAAAAAGAACATAGAGAAAATATGCATAAGAAGAAGTATGAATAGAAATATGAAAGATATATGAAATATCCTATATCTTTTTTGTCACAGTTCTGTACACATCTATTTTTGTCACGTCCTCTTCTTAGTATTAACTAATTATATTTCTACGTATATACGTACACGCACATGTACGTGCGCGTGTCGTACCTCCTGCAAATATTTTGTACTTAAAATTTAATAAAATTTCCTAAAATTATCGAAATTCAAATGCAAAGTCAAATGATTTATGACAACTACAATAATATGAGTCAACGGGAAAAGATATGTAACGGGAAAAATCTCCAACATATGGTAAATCAAACAGATAAAGAAAAACAAGATGGCGCAGCATCATTAAAACGTCATCTAACAAATGATATTGAAATAATCGAAATGGATGAAGAAAATCATACAAATACTGACGGAGGCAACTTTCGGAAACAAATAAATAAATAATAGAAATTTTAAAGGAACGAACAGAAACGACAACGATATGGACTATCGATTTCCCGTGAATAAAACCTACACAAATTCAAATATTAATGAAAACAGAATCAGACATCAACAACAGCAACGAAATGATTTAAATCTTAACGACAGTAATAATAAATAACAGAGTTCGACATTGACAGATCAAAACTCAGTTCAAATATCCAATCATGCTCTAAACTATGCGGCTGAACATCATCTTCCTCCATTAAAAATGGAATGTAATTCCGAACTACAAGACCAAAACAAGGTTTACACGTAGTCGTTGAATTAATGAAATTTATTAAAACCGATTTTCTGCGGAACTATCCATGCTATTCAAAACCTCTTCACTTCGATCTATGGTGGATTGATTCGGTAGGTGATCTCCAAGCAACGGTAAAATCAACTGGCCTGTATGTGTATTTGTGTAAAAGAGAATGCTGTCCAACAGAATTGAACAATATTAAGATTACCCCACACCCACCAAAACATTTACCTGCTCAGCACACTGAGTCGACGAATTTTTACCTTCACCATAGCTCCTCATATGCTCCAAATGCAACTCACTAGGGCATATGAAGAAATCCTGTCAAAATTCTTCATTTAATATTTGTCGAAGATATGGTGGCGATAAGAATGATCAACAAAATCATAAAGAATGTACAATCCAATGTCATCATTGCGGAGGCGACCTTTATCAGTTGACTATAAATGTTCCATCATCTCTAATTATCCTCGTCAACTAATCAACGAATTAAAAAGAAACCCGAATAGATTACCACCCGATATTCAGCTCTTCATACCATCAGAATATAGGAACCCCGGTGAATGATTAAAATCCATCTATAACAAAACCATTCAATTTCATCAACAACAGCAGCCACAGCGTCAAAATTACAACAGGAATGATGATAGTGCAATTAACCGACTGCAATCTTAATCATAGGATTAAAGTACTAGAAGAAGAGATGGAAACGATCAAACAAAAGATTGACGAACATCAAAATATAATAAAACAAAAATATAAAGATCACCTTACCTCAATGAATCAAAGTTGGATGCTGATGCAACAACAAATCCATACGCAAACCGAATCTTTTAAGATAATGAACAATGTTATCGTTCAAATATTGGTTTCAACGTGCCAGAAAACCACAGAAACTATTTCTACAGTAATTACAAAATTGAAAATACAAAGTAATATTAGTGATTACGATGAAATTCTTCAACACCTAGCCACTCAACTCTCCTTCTTAACTGAAATACAACAAGCATACAGTAACCATCAATCTTTATTAAAACAACATTCAAATAAAGAAAACGAATTATTAAATCGTACATTCGATTTTGTAATAAATGATCGTAATGAATCGACTTTCGTTATTGTTTGCCTATGGTAAACATGAATCTATTAGATCAGTTCGAAGGAACTGTAAGTGAGAAACAGTCACTTTTCTCTATTTTATCTGAGTGGAATAGTAGATCGAGTATCACTTAGTTGAGCAAAAGCTGGTGTAAGAACAGGCCCAAAAATTCTTCAGAAAATCTTGTAATTCTGCTGTGTAACTGTGAGGGTCTCAGTATCCATTTCTTCGATCTTGATCTTCTTCTTTTTTCTCAAAGTTCACACATTTTCATGTTGACAGGAGTAAGTACTTCGCCGCCGTCGTTCATGTTATTAAGTTCAAAATCTAAACGGCCAAAACTGGAAGTCTAACTCTGGCTGGCTAAATTCAGAATTTGACGGGCCAAAAGTTGAATTTTAATTTTGACCACGTCAGAATCGAAATTTGGAATTATTATTATTATACTATTATTATATAATATTATATTAATTATTCATTCAACATAGTTTTCTTACATTTCATGAATAATGGCTTATTCAG